CCTATTTCGCTAAATTTCTTAATTACCAAATCCCTTATATCTTGACACCAAACCATAGTTAAAAAAATACAATATAAATTATGTACAGTAATTTTGAATATTCAATAACTAATTAACTTAACTTAAAAAAGGAAAAAAGTTGAAAAATTTTTTGTTTGAGACGTCTATTTGAATGTCAAACCGGATGTCAACTCAATGTTCCAATAAACATGTCGCGCGGCCAAATAAAGAAAAAACTTATGAAAATTATTAAAAATTTTTGCTAATAATGTTCACAAAATATTATCATTTTCTTAAATTTTTTTCAATATTATGTCAATTTAACTCTTTTTCTATATAAATTTAGACAAAAAATACTAATTTGCAGAGGACAAACAATTTTAACCATTAATTAAAAATTGGCCTATCAAAATTTGTGGTGTCCATATATACATGTCGTCCACTTTATATACCATTTGATAGCAAAAATGCTCCTGGCTTCTCTCCAGGTTCATAAAAATAATCATTTGTATTTTGAATGGCTCTTTTTCGTTTCTTTTCTGGAACATATTGAATTTTCAAAATTTCATTTGGTTGTAATGTTCCAGACAAATCTTGTGGATATTCTATTTCATTAGTATTGTCAGACTGAACAAATATTTCATATAAGTGTGTAGGGGTTAAATCTACTGCATACGATCCAACATTCTTAATCTCTATATAATTTTGTCCAAAACTTATTTCATTTATCAAAAGCTTCTGCACGGAATTTTGCAGTAGAATTAAATTTAGTATAGCTATAAAAGTTTTCTGCATTCTGTTTTGAATCATTCAACTTTTCTATCTGTTTACTTATATTTTTAAACTACTCTTTTATATATGGCCGCATTTGAGCTTAGGCTATCAAGAAAAGGCCATTTGTCAAAAATAGACAATAATGCAAGCATTTTGATAGTTTTTGTAAGGAAATGAAGAAGACAATAATTGTACTGAAAGGAATAAATATAGTTTTTTAATTTTTCAATTGCTAAGCTTTTTCAATACTTCTATTATTTAATTGAATAGAGCAAAAATTATATAAATTCCTTCTTTTCTCCTACCAATATATGATAACTGATATTGTTAGCTCTATTTTCTACTATAGAAAGTGAACATTTGTTAGCTCTATTCTACAATAGATCCCAAAATTTCAATTTGACTATGAAAAGATTTTTTCACTGTCTTTTTTACTATATTGTTTTTATGCATTTTGGTTATGATAGAATCTTACTTGTTTATATAGGCCACTTCCTTTTACACAAATAAACTGCTTAAAGCATTTATAATTTAGTGCAGAATTCTTAGGCCTTTATAAAAAATGATCAAGGAACTATGTTCTTGTTGTGAATAGCAACTATCTCATCTGTTTTATCTCTTTTTACTTATTGTGATCTAGGTAGTTCTACTGTATTATTTGTGTAGGACCAAAACTTTATAGTAATATCAAAAGATTTATCATATAATCTGAATGCCAACTGTCTAAATGAATCATTCCTTTACATTAAAGGACAAAGAATAAAATTAAAGGTTATTAAAAATAAATACCTGTAAATCTCAAATCAATGTTGTCAGCTTACCCAGGTAGATGGATGCTATTATAGATTAACAATAATATGAAACTGATAATATTTCAAAAGTATTAACAGCTATATTGTATATTGTAGGTGTTTTCTTGTTGTTATTTTTTCCTGTTTGATACATATGTTGCCTTATTAATTTCGGTGCATTAGTGGAAAATGGGGAAAAAAAACAAGTATTGTCAAGGATATTTAACCCATCAACCCTTTTACTCTTCTAGTTTTATTTCAACAATGCTACGTTAGGAATATATTTCCATTTTTTTTCTAGATTTTCATCACACAGACATCTGTATTTTTTGCTTGAAGCTTGTGCCTTAGCCTAATTTTTTGGTTTGACATGTCCCAATTGAAATTGCTTAGCAATTGAAAACATAAAACTACAGTATAGGCAAAAAGGTTCATGTTTTGGCAAGGTGCCAAACTTGAAATTGAACAAACATACTTTACATTATCATCATTAAACACCACATTATTATTTTAACTCTTTGTTAAGACCATATTATATGAACAGAATGTTGTTCATTATGTGTCAGCAGATGTAACATCATCGACTCCTTCTGACCATGCTTCAATCACGTTGCCTTCAAAACTGGAAAAAAATCAAAAAATCTGGCATATCATCCAAAATATCTTCTATGATATCTCTTATAATCTGTCTACTCTTTAAACATTGATCGTTCTGTATTGGTAGGTTTTTATATTATTGATATTGCACAAAAAGGATCCAATTATTCCTAAATCAACTTTCCACTGTGCAAAATTCTCATTTAGAAAAGGTCATCAAAGTTGTCTATTCTGATGAAATATGTTTACTATTTGAAAATGGAATATGGTTTGAAGCAACCAAAGAATAAGTTTGTCCATGAGTAATAACAAATAAATAATTAACAAAAAGCCTGTATTTCACCAAGTAATACATGTGTTGAGCTGGGATGTGGTAGAAAACGGCCATAAATCTCTGGTTTTACCCTAACCCTAACCTAGCACTTGCTTTTGCCTAACCTTTTCCAATGCCGCTAACCCTTAGACGGGACCCAAATAGTACATATCAATACTTATCTTATTCTTCCTAACCATTTCCCAGCTTGAAATCTAAACTTTAAATATCTCATTTATGGCCGTTTTCGACCTGTCCCGTTGAGCTGCTACATGTATATTTTTAAAGTTCTTTGTTCCACAGCCAATTTCATTGTGGTTCCATCTATTATTTTCCAATATTGTATTTCCCACAAAATAAAAGTTTTTCTAGAGTTCTTTCATTACAATTATTATAAATTAGAAGTCTTACTGATTACTATAAATGCTGCTATTTGTACAGATTACCCTCTAATTGGTGTAGAATGTAGTGTGGGATACTGGTAAGAGAGACTAAGGCAATTAAATGTTGACAAGGTATTATGATTAATTAGTATTATTTCTTGGTAAAATAATATATCATTGATTGTAGTTCAATACTAAATGTTTGACTTTATAACATCTATTTGCTAAAAATATAAAATGAGCAGTTTCCCAACTGCAAAGCAACTAATTATAATCTTCTAGATTTTTGTCATTTCTGGGAAAGTTCCCTGTAGAAATCCAATAGAATAGATTGACCTAAAAGATTAAAGATTAAGTAATCCAGAATATGTGAACTACTTCAAATTGCTTAATTTAAAAAACTAATTGACAATTGTAGTTTTTTTTTCCAATACTTCAGCTAATAAATGCTAGCAAATGAAACACTTTAGGAATATGTACATCTTGGTGTACTCAGCTAAAAACGAATATCGTTTTAACAGTAAGATCTAATCCTTTGACTTTGCTAATAAAAACCAAAGGTTATATACAAGACAACAAAGCTTTAACTTGGAATTCCTGGAGGATAAAATAAGATTTCTGAGAAAAAGGCTGTAAAGCTTTAAACGGGTTAGGATTATCTTGCTGATTAAATTCAATTAGATTATAATCCTTTGCGGTTTTCAGGCACGTTGTCTTTTTTGCTAAGGTCATGATTAGGTTGTCATATGTCATTCAAGTAGTATGAACTCGGGAAATTATTTTAAGAATCTAGATTATTAATTAATGAAGTAGTTAATATTTCAAGATATTACAATTATGACAGGATCAAATCAATCCTATTATTATTATTTATAAATGTTAGGGTTTAATTGCAAATTACACGATGAACAAAGTTCAAAATACATGGAATGAATTTAAAGGAACGGGTAAAAAAAAATATCAAACAATTCCGTAATTTCAGTTTTTGAACAATAAAGATCATATCAAACAAAGGTTATACAAATTTCCCAGCTATGGTTTGGTCAAGAAAATCAAAGTTGTTTGAAATTGAAGAAACTTATGACTTTGTTTTTGAAATATATCAATTTGATGAAAACAGTCTCAGAAACTTCTTTCCACACTTTTTTGGGGAAAGAATTAAGATTCAAAAGAAACTAAAAGAAGAAAGTATGAGGTCTTTTAAAGGATGAAAAAGAATACCTTCTTGAAGCTTTCAACATTCCTCTCATTGTTTTGCTAATATCTACTTTTGATATAAAGAATATCCAATTTACCATCAAAACCTCACGTCAAACTTCTGCAGGCTATAATAACTCTTGCTCCCCTTTTGATGAAATCCGGTTCATTCTTTACCAATACCTGAATTATCTCCAGTAACTATAATGGTTTTCCTTCAAGTGAATGAGTTGACTGGCACATTTCATGTTGAGTTAGTCTGGAATGTTTGAATATTGAGTAGTATATAGACAATTAAAAGAAAAATTACTAATAATTAATATATTCTTACGAAATTTCATCATTGGTTGCAGTTGCATCTTGTTTGTTTGTCACGTGGAACCAAGCTCCACCAATCGTTGTTGTTTGTAGTTTATCTACCTAAATGTCATACTTTCAGCTATTATAGAAAACCTCTGTGTCAGCAATTATTTTACTACTATTACTCTGCTGCATATAGAACAGAACAAAGTTGGAAAAGTAGGACAATTGTGTTAATTGGCCTACAACATCTACTTTGGAGTAAACAGGTCTATGTGGCGATTACAAAGACCTATAGCTAATAATTGCTTGTGTTTGTTTTTTTGTTTGGTCCTATACACGTAAGAGAGGAAAACACAAATGGAATCTGTAGTATGATACGCAGCGACCTCTGTGTCCTAGTTTCGTATGTTGTGAAAGAGAAATGTGAAAGAATGATTGGTGTGTTGGAATTTAGTTTATTGTTGATTGGTATTGTTTGTTTTGAAGTGTTTATTATCAGTGAGGTGAGAACAGCAATGACTGCATTGAAATAAATCATTAAAAGTTGTAATTTATTTGTAATAATTGGTTAGGAAACTTTCATCAAAATCTAGCCATTAAAAACCATTCAAGAGAAATGCCACTTATCCGTAATTCTAGGCCTTATTGAGCTGCCAGCGCATTTATTGCTCTTGATTGAAGCAACTTTATATCATTTCCCTTTTCGACAATGTTTAAGAAGGATTTTCCTATATTTTCGGTGGTGGTTACCTTATTTGGAGCAAGGCATCTTAAGACTGGGTAGAGTACTTTTACAACGGGTTCTGCAGCTCCGTATGTTCTGGAACTAACCTCTCCTATCGGTTTTATAACTGCTAAACGAAAAACATATCCTTTTTTCCCAGAATGAATGATATAATTTTCAGTTTTCCCCCTAGCATCTTTCCAAAAAGACCCACTACTTTCTGTAGGATCACTGCCCTCTGCTGATATATATAAAAACGTCAGATCCGGATTTTGCTGCCAGAGAACGTCGGCAAACAATTTTGTAAGACCAAACGTCATTTTGTGATAATATTCTTCCTTTGCCCGAAAAGCAGTAATACCAATTGAAAAGAAGCAAGCATCGTAGCCCTTCAACTCCTCCTTAATGGAATCCAATTCGAACATATCCGTCAATAAAATTTCCTTCACCTTCGGATGGTTAAAACCAATGCTCTTTCGGTTGATTATTAACACTTCTTCCACTCTACTGTCTTTGACGCATTGCAGCAATGCTCCTTTTCCCATTAAGCCAGATGATCCTGTAATCACTACTTTCATACCTTTCTGTTTGAACACCATCAATCTAAGTAATGATAGATATAACATTGTACTAAAATCATGTAATTTTGATAAAAATTAAAATTACAAAGACACAAGTTCAATATTTACCGGCTTTGTAAATCAAAATGAAGGTAATCTTAACGAAATATGGCAGGGAGGAAGCACCATCTCATGTTAAAGCGCCATCTGTAGTTTGTTAAATATTAATAAACAAGCATAATTGTCCTACTTTTGCAACTTTGTTCTGCTCTATATGCAACAGAGTAATAGTAGTAGTATAGCAGCTGACACAGAGGTTTTCTATAATAGCTGAAAGCATGACATTCAGGTTGATAAACAACATTATTTGCTGCCACAAAACTTTTTTCTAGCAGCTGATTTGAATTCTTTGCGTTCTATTTTTATAAATTAATTATATTTTAATAATATTTGTTCATATTTATTGTATTTATTCAACAAAGATATGAGAGATCTTGTGACCAAGAAATATAAAAAAGTAAGAAAGTTATAAGCAATAGGCAGAATCTAGACTAGCATAAAGCATCTTTAGCTGATGAGGCTAGATTCTCACTAAGATGACTTCAGGATGTGGACAAATGATGGTGAAAAAGACTTTAGGGCGACGAAAAATATGGGCAGGGATGGAGTAATGGTTCGGAGACTAATAACCTCTGATGGGTTATTCAAAGTAGGGAGGATAAGGAAACAGCTTGTGCTGACAAACATAGCTGCTGATATTATGTTCATTTGGTTATGAAATTAATTAATTATTTATTAATTAAATATATCAGTCATTTTCTTCGATATTGTCTATAATTTCGGAAGGGGAGGGGTTTTCTATAATTTTGAGGACGTTTTCTGTCCTTTTGGAACCATTTTCTGTCATCTTCAAACTTCTTGCGATAACTAGTGAAGGTTCTTAGAGTTGTTCTTGTCCCATTCTGAAGGTTGAGGTTTGATCCAGAAAGACTAAACCTTGGAAAGTCTAGATGGACTGGAAAATTAATAAATTTAAGGTTACAGAGCTTTAAACCAAGAGAATTTAGGGGACATTCCCAAATTTTGAATATTCCTCCATCCAGCTTTATATCTTTAAATAGAATAAATCTTTCATTTTGGCAGCCATGTTTTAAAATATATTCAATCTCAGTAGTAAGTTTCTCATTGAAATCACAAAAACGTAAATCTAGTTTCTTCAAAGTGTCCAATGACATTTGAAGTCCTTCACAAATATTCTTCACTCCACCACCCAATTCTTTATTCTCGCATAGAATAATGGATTCAATATGGGAGCAATGCTGTAGCAAATTTCCAAAATCTGTCTACTTTGTTTTTCATTTAAATTACAAGAATGAAAAGTTAAATTTTCAAAGTGCTTGATGACATTCGAAGTCCTCGACAAATATCCGCTTTTCCTTTACCTATTTTTCTATTGCCAGTTAGATTTGTTTTTTCAACCATTTTATAATTGCTCATCAAATCTAGGAGTTGAAATAGGTCTCTATCAATCAAAGGGCAAGTTTTCAAAAAGATACATTCACGAGATCAGGAATCTATTCCCTAACATCTCTTTCTGCTCAACCTTTCGTTGAGTTCAATTTTCAAACTGTAGCCGTAAGTAGTGAATATGGGTTGGAAACATCCTGGTCAGGCTTTATGTATGAAGGAAACAATGTATTCTTTGTTGGTAGAAACTCTCCTTTTTTAGAAACAGGATACCAAATACCATTTACTCAAATTGTTGCACTGAGGGGTGCTGCTCTAATCATGCAGAATAGAGAGATTCAAGTCTTTTCAACTGGATGGTATTATGTTAATTTTGGCATTGGATTTTTAGGTAGATTATCTTGTTTGGTAAGCCTCGTGAAAAATGTAGAATCTAGATCTTTTGAAAGATCTATAGCAAAAAACCACATAGATTCAATAGCCACTCAAGCATCTAGAGGAATTATTGTTAAATTGAATGAAAATGACAGGATATCATTAAAATTGCATGCTGGTGCATCAACATCAAGTAAAATGTCTACTTACATATCTGGATTTAAATTAAATTTAACTGTGGAAAGGCCAGCATTCTATGCCTATAGAACTGACAATGTGCTAGGATCATCAAGGGTAAAGATAGCCTATGATGCATGTGTCATTGACACTAATTCTGGTTGGAATTCCTCAGAAAATGTTTTAACGTTGCAATTTCCGGTTTATATTATATTGATGTGTCTGTTGGCACATGGCCAAATTCACAATCAATAATATATATTATGGTGAACAATGAACAAAGATTGGGTATGAGAAGAGCAAGACCAAGACCAGGCTATGAAACAATGAGCAGGGCAGGTTTATTAAAATTGCAAGTTAATGATAGAGTATCGGTAGAGACAAGTACTAATTTACATCATTGGCTTTGTTTTACATTTCTCCTTTATAATTTGGCATTATGTACTGTTGCATGATTAAATTGTATTTTAAATACCAGTGGAGTTGATTATTTATTCTGTCTTTTACCAAAGCTTAAGTGGATAATACATCAAAATAAAAGTTTTTAGAGAACTTTTGATGGTGCTTTTCAAATATCAATTTCTTTTCAAGCATTGAATTAAATCCACTAGTTAAAACATTTTCTGAGGAATTCCAACCAGAATTAGTGTCAATGACACATGCATCATAGGCTATCTTTACCCTTGATGATCCTAGCACATTGTCAGTTCTATAGGCATAGAATGCTGGCCTTTCCACAGTTAAATTTAATTTAAATCCAGATATGTAAGTAGACATTTTACTTGATGTTGATGCACCAGCATGCAATTTTAATGATATCCTGTCATTTTCATTCAATTTAACAATAATTCTCTAGATGCTTGAGTGGCTATTGAATCTATGTGGTTTTTTGCTATAGATCTTTCAAAAGATCTAGATTCTACATTTTTCACGAGGCTTACCAAACAAGATAAATCTACCTAAAAATCCAATGCCAAAATTAACATAATACCATCCAGTTGAAAAGACTTGAATCTCTCTATTCTGCATGATTAGAGCAGCACCCCTCAGTGCAACAATTTGAGTAAATGGTATTTGGTATCCTGTTTCTAAAAAAGGAGAGTTTCTACCAACAAAGAATACATTGTTTCCTTCATACATAAAGCCTGACCAGGATGTTTCCAACCCATATTCACTACTTACGGCTACAGTTTGAAAATTGAACTCAACGAAAGGTTGAGCAGAAAGAGATGTTAGGGAATAGATTCCTGATCTCGTGAATGTATCTTTTTGAAAACTTGCCCTTTGATTGATAGAGACCTATTTCAACTCCTAGATTTGATGAGCAATTATAAAATGGTTGAAAAAACAAATCTAACTGGCAATAGAAAAATAGGTAAAGGAAAAGCGGATATTTGTCGAGGACTTCGAATGTCATCAAGCACTTTGAAAATTTAACTTTTCATTCTTGTAATTTAAATGAAAAACAAAGTAGACAGATTTTGGAAATTTGCTACAGCATTGCTCCCATATTGAATCCATTATTCTATGCGAGAATAAAGAATTGGGTGGTGGAGTGAAGAATATTTGTGAAGGACTTCAAATGTCATTGGACACTTTGAAGAAACTAGATTTACGTTTTTGTGATTTCAATGAGAAACTTACTACTGAGATTGAATATATTTTAAAACATGGCTGCCAAAATGAAAGATTTATTCTATTTAAAGATATAAAGCTGGATGGAGGAATATTCAAAATTTGGGAATGTCCCTAAATTCTCTTGGTTTAAAGCTCTGTAACCTTAAATTTATTAATTTTCCAGTCCATCTAGACTTTCCAAGGTTTGTCTTTCTGGATCAAACCTCAACCTTCAGAATGGGACAAGAACAACTCTAAGAACCTTCACTAGTTATCGCAAGAAGTTTGAAGATGACAGAAAATGGTTCCAAAAGGACAGAAAACGTCCTCAAAATTATAGAAAACCCTCCCTTCCGAAATTATAGACAATATCGAAGAAAATGACTGATATATTTAATTAATAAATAATTAATTAATTTCATAACCAAATGAACATAATATCAGCAGCTATGTTTGTCAGCACAAGCTGTTTCCTTATCCTCCCTACTTTGAATAACCCATCAGAGGTTATTAGTCTCCGAACCATTACTCCATCCCTGCCTATTTTTCGTCGCCCTAAAGTCTTTTTCACCATCATTTGTCCACATCTGAAGTCATCTTAGTGAGAATCTAGCCTCATCAGCTAAAGATGCTTTATGCTAGTCTAGATTCTGCTATTGCTTATAACTTTCTTACTTTTTTATATTTCTTGGTCACAAGATCTCTCATATCTTTGTTGAATAAATACAATAAATATGAACAAATATTATTAAAATATAATTAATTTATAAAAATAGAACGCAAAGAATTCAAATCAGCTGCTAGAAAAAAGTTTTGTGGCAGCAAATAATGTTGTTTATCAACCTGAATGTCATGCTTTCAGCTATTATAGAAAACCTTTGTCAGCTGCTATACTACTACTATTACTCTGTTGCATATAGAGCAGAACAAAGTTGCAAAAGTAGGACAATTATGCTTGTTTATTAATATTTAACAAACTACAGATGGCGCTTTAACATGAGATGGTGCTTCCTCCCTGCCATATTTCGTTAAGATTACCTTCATTTTGATTTACAAAGCCGGTAAATATTGAACTTGTGTCTTTGTAATTTTAATTTTTATCAAAATTACATGATTTTAGTACAATGTTATATCTATCATTACTTAGATTGTGGTGTTCAAACAGAAAGGTATGAAAGTAGTGATTCAGGATCATCTGGCTTAATGGGAAAAGGAGCATTGCTGCAATGCGTCAAAGACAGTAGAGTGGAAGAAGTGTTAATAATCAACCGAAAGAGCATTGGTTTTAACCATCCGAAGGTGAAGGAAATTTTATTGACGGATATGTTCGAATTGGATTCCATTAAGGAGGAGTTGAAGGGCTACGATGCTTGCTTCTTTTCATTGGTATTACTGCTTTTCGGGCAAAGGAAGAATATTATCAAAAATGAC